AAGCAAAATCATTGTGGCCTGCATTGCACTGCACAATTTTATTAGAGAAAGTCAACTAGCTGATATAGATTTCGACAAGTGTGATCAAGATGAAAATTATGTACCATTGCCTGTGCCAACGACCACTCCAACAAATGATTCAACCAATGAGATGGATAGTGCTGCTATGAATCAATTTAGAAATTGGGTCGCTGATGGGTTGTGGAGCTTGATACAGCTATAATATATTATTTCGGTTCTTATGGACAAGTGTTCTTCGCTCATGTAATCTCACTTATTTCGATTTTTATGAACAATTGTTGGCACGAACAAGTGTTCTCTTCTAGTGTTGTTTTGGTTGTTACGAACAAGCTTATTTCTGTTCTTATGAACAATTGTTGGCATGAACAAGTGTTCTCTTCTAGTGTTGTTGGCCCTGGGACTTCTATATGCGATGAACAAGTGGTTTTTCAAGAGCCGAACTGGGACTTCTGTTGTTATTATTTATGTAATCTGTACTAGTTAATTATTAGCGGCAGATTGCAATGCGGCGAAGTGCCGAACTAGGACTTCTATCGGCAAATGAACAAGTGGTTTTTTCTGTTTTTATCATTTATGTATATGTACTAGTCTGTACTAGTTAATTATTAGGGGCAGCATGGTCTTTTAGCACATCATTTATTATCCTCTAGTCCATATTTAGTCCCTGGAAATAAACAGATAGGGACTAGAGACTTTTTAGTTGGGACTAAAAGAAGTCTTAGGACTTTTTAAACAAACAGGGCCATAGTTTACCAAACATTTAGCGGCAGGTAGCGAGAGGAGCAGGAGCTGGCTGCTCTGCTCGCTGGGGATCACGAGGCCGCCGGGTTGCTTGCATGGTGCTCGGCGCCCGAGGGGTGCCATTGGCCTGGCCGGGCTGGAGATTCGCGTGGTGCCGGTGGCGGGGCCGCCGATGCGGACCTCGGTCAGTTCAAACCTGTTCGTTCGTTCGGGACGGATCCATTTGGCCGCACGTCACTCTACTGTAGTACGGGCTCGGGCTCCAGCTAGCTAGCGACGCCGGGACGCATGGGTGGTCTCGGGCTGAGCCCCGGGCCACGCCGGCTAGCTTGCTGCCCAGGAGAAAACGACCGGGGCCATGGACTCTCCTGGCCTTTCCCCCCTGGCTGCTTTCCTCTGCCTCCGGCCTCCGCACATGCACCATGCACCGGCCACGAGCTGGTAGTAGTACTAGTACACTGTGGTGCGTCGTCGTGACGGACGGGGCGGGCGTGCATGGGCAGGGCCCGGTCGCGGCAGCCTCAACACGCACGCACGCACGCACGTATGGATGGCAGTGGCAGTGGCGTCCGCTGTGCCAGCACCGTGATCTCCATGTCGCTGCCATGCTCATGCATGCACGCACGCACGGTTGCTCTCCTGCGAGGGGTGCTCCTTTGTTTTTGTCCCTGCCTCTGGCCCTGGCCCTGGAGGAACCCTCGTGTGGCACTGTGCCCCTGGCGCCATGGCCGGACGCCGGTCGGTCGGTCGACATGTCGGTCTCCGGGCTCTGGCCGCACGTGGCCGGGCTCGTGCCAACTGAACCCTGCCTGCGCGCCATGGACGAGCTGTGCCACGCGCGTACGTCCACGGGTTTTCCGGCGAGCCCGGCGCCCCGCCCCGGCCCGGCCACATAGATTCCCCAACAATGCCTGTGCCTGTGCGTATCGCTCGCTGCCTCCTCTGGCACCGTGCGTTGGTGCGTGCGTGTCGCCGCTGGGCTGGCATGCCCCCCACCCCCACGTCTGGCGTCGTGATAATCCACTGATCCACTCCGCGATACGATAAGAGCTGGCAGCGCGCATGCATGTGCCGCCGTGCGCCATGGCCGCTCGTCCGTCGCGTCGATGCGTCCGCGTCCCTCCTCCCTTCCTTTTCTTGTGCATGCCCTTTTTTTTTGCACCTAGCTAGTACAGGCCGGCCGCGCGCACAGCCCAGGGCCGGTGCGCGCTTCGCGTAGATAGGCTGGTTCCCTGCCCTCCCCCGCCGGGAGCGCGCGGCGAGGAGATGGACGACGGCGACGGGACGGGGCGCGAGACGCACACGTGTCCGCCTTTACGTCGTTCCATCGATCCAGCGGCCGACGAGACGCGACGCCGCACCGGTCGACCTCCCCGGCCGGCCGGACGATTCCCCGCCGATCCGCCGTAGCTTAGCTGCTACAGGCTAGACCGCCATCGTGTAGCCACGAGCCCGCGCTCGATTGATACCCTAGCCAAAAGCTAAGGAGCTAATGGAGTAGCCAGCCAATGCAAGAAACAAATTAAGCATAGCTTGAGCTACGTGCACGAGTGGCACCAAACCGAACTGGAATAAGATCGCGTCCACCGGTCGCCACACTCACTCATTCACTCCACCAACAACCACGTACTAGCTGATGATCGATCGATCTCCGGGCCGGGCATTATCGCATGTAGCTAGCCAGCGAGAGCACCAGCGTGCGTACGTGTAGCCTAGCCACGAGACGAGCAGACCGAGAATTCCTCGATCGGCCTAGGCTTAGCTACGTCTACGTGCACGACTGCCACCGAACCAAACTGGAGTAAGATCGCGTCCACCGGTCACCACTCGTTCACTCAACACAAATCCAAATGATCCGTCTCCGGCCCACATATATTGCAGATATATATACTAGCTTTTAGTTCTAGATACATCTATTTTCGAGACAAGTAATTCTGAACGGAGGGAGTAGTATTTTGTTTGAATGAGCAAATGATACTGGCTAGTAGTATAGGTGGCAAGAGCACCAAGGAGGCGGACGCGACGAACGAACTGAGCGATCCTCGGCATAGCCTCGGCTACGTGCACGACTTCCACTAAACCAAACCGGCGTAAAATTAACTAGCCCCCATCTACCCCCGTCGACCCATCGCTGACAAGAACACACATACCAAACACCTGACCCGCGGATCGATCGACCCGACCGATCTCGATCGCGTATCAGTATGAGCATTGAGCAGCATCACAAACACGCGCGCTGGCACATGCACGCACACATATCATTAGCTAGCAAGCTAGCCTCGCGTCGCACGGAAAAGAAAGATCCTCGATCGATCGATTCCACAGGAGCTACTAGCTAATGACATGTGTGATCGCATCGCGCATGATCATCAACTCCCCAGGATCGCACACATTCATGATCTCTCCATCCATCATGAATTCATGATCACTCTTTCGATTCCTTTCTTTCTTTCGTTCAGTGCAACAACAAAAAGCACACGGATCCATGGAACAAAAAATTTTGATTGCGCCAAAAGCCTAAAGGCAAAGGCTAACAAGCTAGCCGGGATGGATGAAAGGCATGTCTATCCGGCGTAGGAGACTGTTAAATATGCGCCGGGCCGTCTTGGTCTACCGCTCACCCATGTGCATGTGCCGGAGGGAGGAGGGTGCCGGTCTGCTGCTGCCGCTGGGGTGGCGCCATGATGCGATCGAGTTTCTTAATGCCATCGGATGCAAAGCGGCACTTGATTAACCAGCCTTCGTGTTTGTGGCGCCTCACACGCGCACTAGCTAGCAGCGATCGTGGTTTAATTAGTGGGTCTACATATGTTAACAAAAAGAGGGCATTTGGTGGGGGGACATGCACGGATGGTGGCGCCGCTTCGCCGTTCACCGCAGCCGGCCACCCCGGGTGAAAATCGGCTTTAGCGTCCGTGATGATGGACAAGCGTGATTAAACTAACTAGGGGTGGCCATGGCCATGGGCGGGTCGTGGTCGTGGCCATCTTTCGTCGTGGCCACGGCTGCGTGGACTTGACTCGTGTGGTGTACGGCGCATGCAGGCCGACGAAGGAGAAGAAGAAGAAGAAGAAGCTCCGGATGTGGTACGTGGCTCTGAATTTCAAAAGAAATTCAGAGCTGATGGTGGTGCAATTGACGAGGTGACACTATTCTGATCGCGGTGCAATTAACGAGGCGATACGTGTAGACCAGAGTCAGAGTAGCTCATGTCCTATGTGATGGTGGCACGCTTATTATTAGGCAGTACAGCTTCTACGGTGCTCCAGTTAAGCTTCAGATTTTTCTCAAAAAGAAAAAGGGGGGGAAAAAGCAAGTTTCAGATTCTTATACTTGCTAGTGTCCATGTGCGTTGCGGGGATGAGTAAAACACAACTTTTTGCCTAAAGGTGGTGGTAGTGAGTGTGCGAGTTTTGCTCAACATTTTTACTTGGAAACAAAATGAATTTTGTGTTATGGTCACCTTGTGCTTCGTCCAAAGGGAAAAAAGGTTCGAAAACAACTTTCACCTATGCGATGGTGGCACGCTTATTAGGCGCAGCATCTCCTTTGCTCCAGTTATGTTTCAGATTCTTACTCCTTTTGGAGGTACTGTCTAGTTTTGACACAAACTCTGCACAAAGTTAGCGGGCATAGCCTGCAAGTTTTGCTCAGCATTTTTCTCTTTGGAAACAAAATTAAATTTTGTGTTATGATCACCCTACTTCATCCAAAGGAAAAAAAAATCATTTTTTAATGAATATATAAAACAATTACTAAGAGAAACGCGCCAGGTAGGGGTCGAACCTACGACTTTCTGCTTAGGAAACAGACGCTCTATCCACTGAGCTACAGGCGCTTTACGCTGCAAATTTCAAATTAACTGAACCTGTCCGTACCATACGAGTTCCATCCGTGCAAGCCAGGGCGACACCGAGTTTTTTGTTCTTCCGAACAGAATAAAAACTTGGTCAGAGTTACAAAAACTTGGTTAGAGTTACAAACGAATAAAAAGACACACGCATAATCCCAGACGAAAGTTCTTTTTTTTAACTGTATATTCCAGATGAAAGTTACAGACGAAGAAAACACACAGACGTAAAAAAATTCCACAACATATTCCAACCCGCCACCTTTTTTACCTTTACCTTTACGCACAGCAGCCGAATCCGCAACACTTGTGCAACTCACATCCAATTATGCACCTGTCTGTCCGTCCCTGGCTGCCGCCTGCCAAGAAATTCAACCGGGAAACCGTGTTAAGAAACGGATATGTGCCGCTTGTTCCCGAATAGAATCCGATGCCTCACTAATTCTCCCACTTCCCTTGCTTCCCCAGCTTTACTGAACCCCCACTTGCCCCAACAAAGCACCTTTCTCTGAATAATGCCCCCGTTCTTATCGCCATAATTCCGGCCCGAACCGAAAAATTCCTTCCGGTTCATGAGCCGCCTTGTCGTCGCCTCCACGGAAATCCTTTGCTGCAGATTCCATGTTCCTGAGATGCCGCCATTGCGTGTCCGAACACCGTCGACAACGATCAGGGTGTGACTAAGGCCCTGTTTTTATTTTCAAGGAACTGACAGGAACATCGCCTTTCAAGTAGAAGGAGCTGTTTTTTAGTGTGGAAAAAACAGAGTTTTTTGCTAGAAAAAAAGAAATATAAAACAGAGTTTACCAGTTAATCAAGGGAAAAAAGTGATAATCAGACCATGGCCTAGTTTAGGACACATGATTTTCTTAAAAAAAAATCCTGGTCATATTGTGCATGAACAAATATTCATGTGTTTCTTTTTTTAGGTGCCAACCACAGCCAATTTTCTTTAGAGACGCACATGCATCCTGGTCTCAACACGTCACCGGTACAAATTGTCTTTTCACTAGCATTGTAGCTTAGGACTATGATCTACTACTTGTAGTACCATGAGTAGAGGAGATTTAAAGGTGCTTTCTCTAGAAGGTTAGGAAAAGGGTCAGGAGGGGAGCTACCAGTAAAATACCCTTTGCTTTAGTCCTGGTCATCCATACCATACTGATTAGTGATATTTCTTATTCTTTACTGCAAGTAGTGTGATCAGCTAGTGCATCTTTGGAGGAGTTGATCCATCGCCACCCCATCATTGCGGAGATTAGCGGCGATGATGATGGTTTAGGCTCTTTTTAGACATGTTCATGACAAATGTTTTCCAGGGTAGGGCCCTGGCTTGCTGGTTTGGTGCCTCGAAGTCAGCACCGGATGACAAAGCGAAGGCAACCGCGAGAGAAAATGGGCGGCATCATGACTATCAAGTTGGTTAAAGCCTAAGCTCCATCACCCAAAGGAACATCATTGCTTCAACTCCCCTCACTGACACTAATGGTGGTTTTCATTTCTTTGTGTTAGTATAATGCAATGTGGGTCGGGATACTAGCTTTGCTAGGGTTAGGGCTTGTTCGTGCACATGGGTAATGGCTAAAATGTTAGCAGCAATGTCCAAGTCATGGGCCTCACCTACTTCCTTGTGGTTCCGGCAGGATGAAAACAGAGACCGACTGAAATGAGACTTGCACTGCACTTTGGATTGGAGTTCCTGATTTGCATCCGGTTCCATTCGATTATTGAGCAATAATTGGTGCATGGAAAAACAAGCAAGCGTGTAGGTCAGGCGAATCATGCGGACAATTGCAAATTGTTCGAAAAGGCTGTAAGTATCCAGTAGACACAAGAAATGTCAAAAGTGACTTGATTCACCACTGATTACATACATTATGGCCTTTGTCAACAATGAGAAGAATATCCTATGAGTTGGGCGGAAGACTAGCGTATAGTAAGTCTACTATTGTGTAAAGATTGACAAAACCGACCTTTACAAGAATCATTGCCAGTCAAGATGCTAGCTGATTTGCATGGCCTATGAATGTGAATGCGAATTTTGGTGAGTGTGTGGCAATGTTGCCAGGAAGACTAGGGTATGGTAAGTCTACTATGGTGTAAAGGTTGACAAAACCGACCTTTACAAGAATCATCGCAGCAGCAGCAAAAGTATTAAGCCAAAGACGCGTCACTGCACGTCTGCACCAGTGCAGCACTGCAACATTAAGCATGAACTGAAGCAGCATCAAGCGTACCATGCTTTCAACTTCGGACATCCCGGCGCCTACTTCAAGAACACAGAAGAATCGCTTGTCCAATAACATATTCAAATCAAATGAGGCAAAGAGGGGCGAAACGCACACCGTCTTTTCCCGATAGGCAAAACCGGATGACAAAGCGACAACAACTGCAAGAGAAAACGGGCAGCGGCATCATGACTACCAAGTTGGTAAAAGCGTCTCCAAAGCCTAAGCTCCATCATCAAAGGAACATCATTGCTTCAACCCCCCTCACTGTCACTAATGGTGGTACTTATTTCTTTGTGCTATTAGTATAATGTAATGCGCGTTCAGATCCTACCTTGCTAGGGTCGGGGCTTGTTCATGCACATGGTTAATGGCTAAATATTAGCAGCAATGTCCAAGTCACGGGCCTCACCGGCAGGCTGAAAAGAGGGACTGAAATGAGACTTGTGCTGCACTTTGAATTGAAGTTTCCAGATTGTGTTCGGTTCCATTTCGATTATTGAGCAATCATTGATGTACACGTGGACACGCTTATTGTCTCAAAGGATCTGCATGGAAAAACAAGCGTGTAGGTCAAATCATCGTCTGGCAACTGCAAATTCTTGGGAAAAGGCTGTAAGAATCCAGCAGACACAAGAAATGTCAAAAGTGACATGATTCACCATTGATTGCATACATTATGGCCTTTGTCAACAATGAGTTGGATGGAAGACTAGGGTATAGCAAGTCTACTATGGTGTGAAGATTGCCAAAACCGACCTTTACGAGAATCATCACCAGTCAAGATACTAGCCAATTTGCATGATTTGATATGCATGTGAACGCGAATTTGGGTGCCGCCCATGGAGTGTAGGTGTAGCAATGTTGCTGGGAAGAATGCCGAAGAAGGGATCAGGCAGGCGCTTCGCCGGACAAATCATCACCCCCGCTGTCATATTCATGCCCGCGCCAAAGCCATCACGCGACACCGTAAACTTGCATTGGAAGGAGTGATCTTCTCTGATGCAGTCCTGAGGCACGTATCAACTTGACACAGTTCAGCCTTTAGGATATGATGAAAACTACTCTGCTCTGTGGTAAGGTAAAACGCAGATCTGCTACTTTCGGTACCTGCCTGAATACTGAAGCAAGCTTCTTTGTTTTTAGGAGCAAACAAGGGAGGGCGATTGCCCACCTGAACACATGCATTGCAACGAAAGACCAACATCGCAATCACAGTTTCTTGTTGAACACTGAAGCTTCAACGAGAAAAGCCATTGCCACATACTAGAAGATATGTTGCAGGCAACCAGATTAAAGCAGCAGCAAGCATGGTAAACTTGCAGCTTCAGACATACCGGCACCTAGTTCAAGAACGCACAAGAATCACTAGTCCAAGAACATAGTCCAACCAAATGATGCGAAGAGGGGCAAAACGTGCATCATCATTTGCGATAGGCAAAACATACAGTAGTATAATAAATATCCGGTTAAACACACTTAACCAGCTACTCTCCGGTACAATAAATATCCCCCTGATCAACATAGTATAAGCAACTAACCTACACACCGCCTGTCAATCCTCTCGATTCTTTCAGCGTGGCATATCTTACAGAATTTCCCTGTGGCCTGACCAAACTACCGCAATAACACAGCACCATCACTCGCTTGCTTCCCACCAGCAGATGCAACTAAGCAGCTTCCTACAAGACTTCTTCCTGTGCAGACTTAAAACACTATAGATATATAAACATGAGATGTGCAAGAGGCTCCCGGTTCTTCCGTGTGTTTAAGATTAGGGAGAGATCACATGTTTGTGCCCCTCGAGATCAGGATGGGCCCGTATGGTTCCACCTGCGTGACCTTGATGCTGTCGAGCGTTGCTAAGACTGCACAAGATAAAACCCGCTGTGAACAATAGTTTACATTCAGTGACATGACCAAACAGAACGGTTAAAAGAGTTGCACTCAATGTCCTAGGGGGTTATCTGTCTAGTCGATGCTATCAAGGAAACTTGGTGGTTTCTTCCCCGGTTCTCATGCTATGACACATATATGATCTGCTTTTAACACCGCAGCTAAGTTAACCTGTCAGAATTTTTTAACCCAGCCAAGACCCAGTATAATGAAAAAGAACAAGCAAGCATGGCATGTAATGTGTGTAATTATAGTTACTGTCCATGGAAATTATGAATACTCAATAAACAGCAAAGCAACTATATAAAATCATGCAGTAAGACCTTTGATTTCTTATTTACTCTAGTGATTGCACGATTTATTCACAATGTAGAACTATTCCATACCACATGTTTGATAGAATAGGCGGGCAGCCTGTGCTGTATTCATCCCATAAGTTAGCTGGCTTAGCGATTCAGACGGCGGGGCATCCGGGCTCTCGAAGTGGAGCTTTAGGTACCTGCATGAATTTAACTCCAGCATCACATGATGTACACATTGTACTCCGCGAGTCAAACATAAGCCACCCAGGAATTATCAGCAATGTTCTCAGGATACTTACGAGTGAATTGATTCAGTGATGTGATCGGGAGGACTGGATTGCTTTGTGAACGGGGTTTGAGTGGGTTCTGTTTCTACCATAAGATCTGAAACAAGAAATGTTTTTAACTGCTGTTTTCGTGGAGGAAACAGGATTGAAATACTCATATCCATAAACAACAGTTTAAGGTAAGGACAGAAAGGCAGAAATGCAACCAACCAGGAGTTGGTTCAATATCTGAAAGCCTTCTCAGCTTGCACTCCCTCCCTTCCTGCTCCATTGGGAATTCCTCTTCAACTGGATCAAGGTTCCCCAAGCTCCGTCCAGATGAAAGCTGCCTCCTCTTGGCCCTGCACAATAGTCCTCAGACAGTTACACTAAGAAACTAAGCAAGACAATGAAAAACCACAGGAAGCTGCCACTTATGATGGTTAACATCAATGATCAGTCGTTTTCCTTTATGTACAACGCAACGTCAGGGAGACAGCTCTAACAGTTTCTAGACAGAGCATAGAAATAAAAGGATAACCCAGTACAAAGAGAAAACTTTCTTAATCACCGAGTTTTTTTTTTCATCACAAGATCACATAGTCAATTATTCGTGCAACTAATAAAGAACAAGGTTACTATCAGTATCAACAGTCACCTTCCGCTTCCAGATTGTAACAGTATCTCTGGATCCAATGGCAGAAATCCCCCCCTTCCAGAGCCACCAGAGCTTGAAGCTGACCTGCGACTTAGCCCTACAGCATAGTTGATGTAATGAAGCGGCTAAAGAAGAAGGAACTTAAAAAAGAAAGGTTTTCAACTTACCAGGACTTCCAGGTGTAACACTAGGGTCACCATGCGGACCATCAAAAACACCTTCAAATTCTCCACTCTTGTTTGCTCTCATCTTTTCAATGCCATCTGTGAAGTCCATTGGTGTGAAGCCCATTGGTTGAGCTCCCATTTCATTCTGATCTCCTTGAGGCTGCCAGTTTAACCAATTATGAGATAAATGTTGATGAAAATAAATCAATAGAGAAATGTGTTCTGAAACAACCTGAGGCGGAGAGTTTCTCGGCTGCTTTTCTTGTGATGATGATGATGATTTATCTCCTATATGAGATAGTGTGCAGCTTGGAATTAGCACTTTTGCAAGTTAAAAGGTGGGTGACACAAAGTTCAGTGTTATAGTTACCTGAAGAAGATGAGGGCTTTGGGGGCTTGACTTTGGTGCATTCCTTCCAGAGCTGCATAAGCTGCTGAGGGTAATATATCTCTTGTGAGTCATCGGAGCAAGACATTAGGGCAGACGGTGGCAAGTCCATGAGCTCGCCTATCTTAATTGCCTTAATAGGATTGATTTTCTGCAAATAGTAAACAGCAAAACAACAATTCGGTAAGTACAATGCATGAGTTCAGAACTATTGGAAAATAGGTGGTTCCAATCAATAACACGTTGACATACACTCCTGACTTGACGCCTTTTAGAGATGAGGCTTGATGGATCCTTCAACCATGACTGATATACATTTCCTGGGATCATTATCTGGTTGTCCATGATCACTTGGGGGCCCTTGCCGCGTGCTTTCCTCTTTGCTCGTTTAGTTGGTTGTTGCTCCTATATTGCGAAAAGCAACCTCATGTAAACAACATCAAATTCCTTTTCCATATAAGAGTTTCAACTAAAGCCAACTATTCATCAGGTAAATGGTACAGACCGTCGTCTTCTGCTCCTCTTGCTCCTTCAATGAATCCCCTGCAGAAGATACTTGCCCTATAGTATATGAGTAGCTGAACTGGGTCCAGTGGTACAACTTCTAATACAACATGCAACCAGTGAACTAGCCAAAGGACAGTAAGCTACATGCAAGATTCGTTTCAAATAGAAAGGTTCCACATCAGTTTACTTGCAAATCCAGTACGTATTATAAGTGCTGCTCATGATCAGTCATAACATAGAAAATTACCAAAAATCTGTAGTAAATTCAGCTGCAATCAATACTACACTACTTATCCACTTAATCTATAATATATAGTCCTGCCACATTCAAATTGGCCATTTACAAAACCGACTGGGGATAATGAGCGAAGATGATATGCTTAGAACCAGCGCTACTTGACCGAATAGCCATAGCGCACAATATGCTAAGCACCAGTGCAAATCTTAAGCTCTCACAAATAACCTTAAAGTTGTACTATTCCAGAAGAAACTCAAAGAAAAAGTCAATGTGTTCAAACAAGTCTTGGTGGAAGTTTCCCTGAATTGAAATAACATGGTAAATGTGTCGCAGACTCGAAATGAGATGAAAATTGGTGTCTATTAGCGTTAAACCGAAATCATTTCCAATTTTACTATGTGATAAGCCATTTCCCACTGTAGCATCATCAAATATACTAGTCATGTGCTTAATTTCACCTTGTTGAGGTTCTTCGCGGATGGAGGATGGGGCAGCACACTGTTCCTGTTGTTGAGGAGGGTCTTCTGGCCTTGGTGGAGAGGGAACTAGTGTACTTGGAGCCTCTGGGTGTTCATCGAGAGTAATATGGACTGTGGTGTCATCATCTGCTATGTCAAATCTGGTGACAAGGTAGTATTGCACAATGAATATTGGTACTCACCACCAAATTAAAAGAAAACGCAACATTGATGATACGAGAATGGCACACTAAAATAAGAATAACTTTTCTTTTCTTTTAATTAGGGAAATTTAAGTCTCCTTTACCTCTCAAAACGATTGAAGATGTCAGTTTCAGCAAGACCAGACTCAAAATTATCGACCAGGGTAATGTTGACTGCCTCAGCTGAGATACGATCATAAAGAACCAAGAGTTAATAATCATTAGCCCTTAAGAACCCTCAAAGAGCAATACCAAAGAGCAGAAAGAAATACCTTGATGATGACGGTCGGCGCGAGAGATGTCATCATCATCCAGGTTGACATTGACATACTGTTCATCCAAATCCTCCAGGCGCTGCACAAGCATAGACTTCAGTCAAGATGAGTGCAGGCAATTCAGACAGAAACTAGGAGACAGAAAAATCCATCCATGCATTTAATCAGAGTTTCAACTTCCAGAATACACAGATGACAATGATTACCATTCCCCGGAACCTGGCAGTATCAGTATCTGTGAAAAGCACGGGCTGCTCCACCTCCATATCCATCGCGTTCTCTGGCAGTGTTACTGCTTCATACCTGCAAGAAGCAGAACTTTCAGATAAAATGACACACTGCTTTCTTAATCTTAAGACAAATCATTCTACATAAACCCCTTTTCTCAATGGCAATGGCACAGTAGCAAGACGTTAAATATCTCATTTGGAGTGCTAACAAACTTTCAAAGGCGAGCAACAAGAGTCCGCTCTCTGATCATGACAGAATGCTAAGATATGTTATCAGTTTTCCAAGGTGATAAAGATCCCCTCTGAACATAGCATTATTACTCAAGTACCATACAACCCCCAGATCTGCTATAATTAGATCATACATTCTCAAGAGATTGACTGATACTGAATAAGAAACTAATACCAAAATAATAAGTCAGCACTGAACAACCCAAAACCAACCAATATCTCGCTGTCCCAGCCAGCCACCCCATTATTAAAATTGTTAAGATAACAAATGGACAAACTATGTCCTAAAAAAGCTGGAGAAACTATAAAATTCATAAAGTCTTGCATAGAATACACATACATATTGGCCGGAAAAACCACCTTGCAACCTGGAGCTGATTAAAATTGGCTAACCCACACATAACAATCAGCAACATACAGAGACATGAATACCCGCATGAACCCTTGCACCAACAGCTATAACACCCAAACGACCCCACTTAGCCAAAGTTGCAACCCATGAATTTAATCAAACAATCAGAATATCAAGACAGGAGCCACAAAATCATATGAAGGTCTATATGAATACCTGCTGCCCCAGAAACACAAGAACAGAGTCAAGTTACAGCAGGATCACACAGAAAGGACCCACGGCTAGGGCTGTGCATCCCAGTTACATTTCACGCAATCAGTGATATGGCATTTTCTAGAAACATCTGAAAACACCACAAAGTAGTGCCGTTGGTCATTGTAAAATCAGTAGTGCGGAATGCAGCACACACCAATAGTTACCAAGCAAGCTGACAGACTGACAGTGTTATTAGGCATCTTAAGAAATTTCATAAACAAAGAAAGTTCAGTTGTTCATTCGGCTACTTTGGAACCTTACAACAGCCTCCAATCTAAACCATCAGACTAACACCACACGGTCTAAAGACACAAAGAAAATTCCATTTCCACAGAGAAATGGACACCAACTCTCCATCATCACCACGCAAACACATTCACAATCTTCTATTAGAAACATCTGAAAACATCACAAATCACATATCATCGTAAACTCAATACTGTACAATGCAGAACACACCAATTGGTGGCAAGCAAGCTGACAGAGACTGCATTGCTATCGAGCCTCTAAGAAATTTCATAAACAGACAAAGTTAAGCTGTCCATACATAGAGCCACCTGGTACCTTGCAAAAGCCCCCAATGTAAACCATCAGGCTAACACCACACGGTCTAAACACACAAGGAAAACCCCATCTCCAGAGAGAAATGGACGCCGGCTCTACATTATCACAACGCAAGCACATTCAGAAACTTGTGGCAGGGCATGGAGACGGAGAGCACTCACTTGGCTTGAGCCTTGCCCTTGGGGAGGACGGTGTGGTCCACGGCCGGCCTGATCTTCCACGCCTCGTTGATCTCAATCTGCGTAAGGAATCAGCACAAACATGAACCCAAGCACCAAATCACCAAGCAGGATGCAGAGGAAACTGGAAGTCGAAGTTTACCAGGAGACGGGACACGTCATCTGCGAGGAACAGTCGGAAACGGTGAGAATCTGAAGATTTCGACAAGAAAAAAGTGCGGCAAGCAGCGAGGGAAGGCAACAGATGGACTGACCGTAGAGAAGCTTCACCTTCCTCTCGTACACGATCACCACGCCACCTGCTCATCACGCCACCCAAACACACAGGCAACAAACACGCGTCACATCCCCGAGGGAGAACAAGAACAAATCCGTCGAGAAAAGGAGCGAAATAACCCGGACGGCTCACCCATGAGGATCCCGGAGAGCCTGAGCGCCATGGGCACCGACGGGTTGAGGATCTCCTCGCTGCAGCAGCATCAGACACATCGCACCACACGCGAATTAAAATCGGGCGAACCGCGAGGTCGTAGCAGAGGGAAACCGGCGGGATCGGGTCGGTGGCTCACCAGATTTTGATGATGTCGAGCTTGTCGAGGCGCTTGCGGTTGATCTTGGCGTGGAGCGTGGCGGCCATCCTGCAGAACATAGGAGGGTCAGAGGAGATGGAGGCGAGGCGACGAGGAGCCCGCATTGGGAGCGGATCGGACGGACGCGTCGGGAAACGCCCGGAACCGAGCAGAAAAACGCGGGACAGGCGAAATCGGTGGCCGGCGGCCGCGACGAGGGGACCGAGCGGCGGCGGCCGGCGAGGAGGGAGGGGAGGGGACGCACCATATCTGGCCGAGCGGCGCCTTCCGCGCGAGGAGCTGGTGCGAG